TGATGAAAGCTAAGGCACCAATTTAAACATACTGTGGGGGGACTTCCCTATTGGCCCAGTGGTTGAGAATCTGCCTTCCAATGCAGGGGACACTGGTTCAATCCCTGGTTGGAGAACTAGGTTTAGTTGTGTGGGATCTTATTCCAAGGAATAAGGACAACCCAAGGAAGTCCATGTGCCATAAGATCCTGCATGATTCAATAAAGATAAAAAATTACCACACACCACAGCTAAGACCTGACACACCAAAAATAAATAATAACATGGATATATTTTAAAAAGCAAATATACTGTGGGATTCTTCTTTTATCTGAGATGCAGGCCAAATGATTCACTGACCAAGCAGAAGTTAATTAAATTAAACATTTTAGTAGTTTAAACATATATTAGTCATGTATGGATGTGAGAGTTGGACTACAAAGAAAGCTGAGCAACAAAGAATTGATGCTTTTGAACTGTGGTGTTGAAGACTCTTGAGAGTCCCTTGGACTGCCAGGAGATCCAACCAGTCCATCCGAAAGGAAATCAGTACTGAATATTCACTGGAAGGACTGATGCTGAAGCTGAAACTCCAATATTTTGGCCACCTGATGAGAACTGACTCCTTGGAAAAGACCTTGATGCTGGGAAAGATTGAAGGCAGGGGGAGGAGAAGTGGATGACAGAGGATGAGATAGTTGGATGGCATCACTGATGTGATGGACATGAATTTGAGTAAGCTCCGAGAGCTGGATGGACAGGGAAGTCTGGCATGCTGCAGTCCATGGGGTCGCAAAGAGTCGAACATGACTGAGCAACTGAACTGCACTGAAATGCACACATACACATATATAACATTAATTACTCAAATTTCTTGCAAAATGATAATAAGAAATTATAATTGATAGAAAACTTCATATAAATCATTTATTTTGGCAATAAAAGATCAAAATTTTTTTATTAACTACAATTACCAAGAGGAATTTCTTTCCAGATCTGAACAATGAAATCTGACATTTCTGATCTCTTCTACACACAATGTCATTTAAAGAATGTGTTTTTGGTTCTTGCTTATCAAAACATATTAAAGACTGTAAAATAGAGGAATTGAGTATCACTAATTAGAGAACTCCAATAGGTCATTCCCACCAAAAGGCTTTTCAGTTAACAAATGACATCTACAGAAACATGTAGGTCAGAGAATCTTTCCCCTCTCCCATCTTTTATTGCTGGGAAATATATCATTAGCATAAACTCCAAAAAATAAAGAGATTCATCAAAAAAGATGAATAAATCTCTAACCTTTCTGCCAATTCTATCTCCTAAAATAACTAGAATCTCTGAGATGTAAGAAATCTTGACTATCTAATTCAAAAGTTTGTTTGTCTGTGAAAAGGAAATAAGCCCCTCCACCCAAAGTTGGATGACTTGCCTAAGGACATACTGAGAGACTGGCAGAACTTTCATCCAGATCTCTTAGTTAATTAAGATACAATCAAATCCAAGAAATCTTTGGGGAAAATGCACTTCACTCATCCTGTAATAAAAAGGAATATAGCAGAACAAAGTTCTCCATCTAATAGTCCACAGGCCAAATGAAAAATCAGCAAATTATCAGTCAGTTTATCTGTTAGACATATACCAGAGGAAGCAACAATGATATTAATATTTACTAGAAACAAGACAGGCTTTGGATGAAATAAATCTAAATTTGAATCTGGATCTGTTATTTATCCATGCCACCTTGGGAAATGTCTCTAAGCCCCAGCTTTCCTCATTTGAAAAAGAGAGTAAAAATTATTATCTCTTACTATTATTTTAAGAATTAAAAGATAATACTTTAAGTGAAAAAAGCTCTGGCATGTTACACGGATTTTAATAAAAAGTACCTGCTTCACAGTATTGTGTAGGAGTCAGATTTTGCAAGGTGTTATATAGCATGGAATGGTAAGAAAAGCAAGAGTCTGGAGATGAAGGGTGTGCATCTACATTTCAACTCTTCTGTTTGTACCTCGCTAAGCCTCTTGCTTTCTCAGCATCTTATGAAATGAAGTAACAATACTTGCCAGGGAACTTTAAGGACCAAGTATAACCATCCATGTATAAGCTTCCTAAGTATAATATAGTGTTACATACATGTTATTGTTAATATAAAGAAACCAATTGGATTAAAAAGTAGTCTGTTATTACAAGGATTAGGGGAAAGTGTTAGTTACTTAATCACGTGGACTCTTTGCAACCCCATGGACTGTAGCCTGCCACACTCCTCTGTCCATGGAATTCTCCAGGCAAGAATACTGGACTAAGTAGTCATTCGCTTCTCCAGGGGACCTTCCCGACCCAGGGATCGAACCTAGGTCTCCTGCATCACAGGCAGATTCTTTACTACTGTCTGAGCTACCAGGGAAGCCCCCAGTTAAGGAATTCTGCTTTTGGAAAGTTAGTATCACTCCCCAGGCACCAATGAAGAGTTCTCAAATTTTATCAACATGTATAATTGTGTTTCAGTTCTACTGAAAACATTTCCTTAAGACCGATGTTTCAAACCATTTCCTGTTGCTTCTTGACCTGCATACAGGTTTCTCATGAGGCAGGTCAGGTGGTCTGGTATTCCATCTCTTTCAGAATTTTCCACAGTTTATTGTGATCCACACAGTCAAAGGCTTTGGCATGCTCAATAAAGCAGAAATAGATGTTTTTTCTGGAACTCTTGCTTTTTCGATGATCCAGCAGATGTTGGCAATTTGATCCCTGGTTCCTCTCTCTTTTCTAAAACCAGTTTGAACATCTGGAAGTTGAAGCCTGGCTTGGAGAATTTTGAGCATTACTTTACAAGTGTGTGAGATGAGTGCAACTGTGCGGTAGTCTGAACTTAGAGAATGGTAAATGAGCACTGGCTTTGACTTAAAGTCACCAGCTGTGTTAGCGCCTGACAAGAGAGTCAGCCTGTTCTTTAAAGCTAGGCATTGATTTCTCTTCTTTAGCTATCAAAATCCTAGAAGGCATCTTATTCCCATATACGGATGTTTTGTTTTCATTAAAAATCTGCGGCTTAGTGTAGCCACCTTCATTCCTTATCTAACCAAATCTTCTGGATAACTTGCTGCAGCTTCTACATCGGTATTCGCCGTTTCACCTTGCACTTCTGTATTTCGGAGACAGCCTCTTCCCTTAACTTAATGGAGTAATCTCTATTAGCATCAAACATTTCTTCTGCAGCTTCCTCACTTCTCTCAGCCCTCACAGAATTGAAGGGAGTTAGAGCCCTTCTCTGGATTAGGCTCTGGCTTAACTGAATTTTGTGACTGATTTGATCTTCTATGCAGACCTTAGTCTAAAACTTTCTCTATATCAGCAATACAGCTATTTAACTTTTTATCATCCATGTACTCAATGAAGCAGCACTTTTAATTTCCTTTAAGAACTTTTCTTTGCATTCACAGCTTGGCTGTTTGGCTCAAGAGCCTAGTGTTCAGCCTATCTTGGCTTTCAACATGCTTTCCTCACTAAGCTTAATCATGTTTAACTTTTGATTTAAAGTGACAGACATATGACTCTTCCTTTCAATTGAACATTTAGAGGTTACTGTCAGGTTATTAACTAACCTAATTTCAGTATTAGTGTGGCTCAGGGAATAGGAAGACTTCAGGGGAGGAAGAAAGACGGGGAAATGGCTAGTCAGTGAAACAGAACATACATAACATTTATTAAGTTCATTGTCTTATATGGATGTAATTTGTGGTGTCCCTAAACAATTACAATTGTACATCAAAGATCACTAATCACAGATCACCATAACAAATACAATAATAATGTAAAAGTCTGAAGTATTGCAGTTATCATAGGATCTAGCAATTCTACTCTCAGGCATATTCAAGAGAAATAAAAACATACTTCCCTACAGAAACTTAAATATGAATGTTCACAAAAGCATTATTCAGAAGGGCAAAAAATGGAAACAATTCAAATTTTCATCAATGGATGGATGTACAAATAATATATAGTATATCCATGTAACTAAATTTTATTTTAAAAAAAGTAGTGATGCATGCTACAACATGAATGAACCTTGAAATGTTACATTAAATGAAAAAAGTTGATTACAAAAGACTACATATTGTATGATACCATTTATAAAAATTGTACAGAAAAGACACATTTATAGAAACAGAAAACAAATCAGTGCTTGCTTAAGATTTGTGAAAGGGGGCATGTGGATCAATTATTTAATGAGTACACATTTTCTTTTAGAAGAGACAAATTGTGATCATTGCACAACCCTATCAATAAACACCAAAACACTGATTTATACACTTTCAAATGACCTGTCTAGTATATTAATTAAATCTCAATAGAGAAAGCAATGGCAACCCACTCCAGTACTCTTGCCTGGAGAATCCTGTGGACGGAGGAGCCTGGTAGGCTGCAGTCCATGGGGTTTCGAAGAGTTGGACATGACTGAGCGACTTCACTTTCACTTTTCATGCACTGGAGAAGGAAATGGCAACCCACTCCAGTATTCTTGCCTGGAGAAACCCAGGGACAGGGGAGCCTAGTGGGCTGCCATCTATGGGGTCACACAGAGTTGGACCTGACTGAAGTGACTTAGCAGTACCAGAGCTGTTTAAAAAATTTTTATGCTTTTCTTATGTCATAAAATAACCAGAATAGAGTCAATTTAATTATGTGTGTGTGCAAAATTAGGCAAACTCAACCTATGGTATATGGAGTTAAGGTAGCAGATTGTCTGGCTAGAGATGCCATGAATGCAAGAGAACATGAAGCTTCTGGGGTTCTGGGGTTCTGATAATGCCTGTTTCTTGACAGGAGATTCTGCTTATGCAGGTGCGTTCAATTTGGAAATGTGAAGTGTGTGTATGTACATTTTATGTATCAATCTCAAAATACTTCAAAAATTTTTTTAAATTTATTTTAGTAAACTTATAAAACTTAAGCCCATGGTGAAAAAGGAAAATCACTGAATGTGGAGGCTAGGCAGTTCGTAAAGTATTCTCACTCACCTTTGTCCTGTAATGCAATTTGCTCTTTATGCAGAAAGACTACCTCCCGTCCCAAAGCTTTCTTCTGTCTTTCCAGTTCATTTCGAAGCACCAAAATTTTTAATTGCAGGCACTCACTTTCTTTTTTCTAAATAATTAAAAATACAGGTAAATTTATGAATATAAAAGTTATGACTGAATAACAACATGCACAATGTTTCAAATGTGAGTGGTTTAAAGCACTTTAATACTCATGTAGCTTATAGATCTGAGTGATTTAATTATCAGCATCTGTCATTTTAATGGAACGAATACAGATGTAAGCAAAATACAGATTAGAAATTAATCTAAAGCCTGGAAACAGTTCTTTCTAAAAGACATAAAATATCTCAGGCCTCTTTTCTGACACCATAATGCAATATAACACAAATTAATAATAAAAAAAGGGGTTTCCTTGGTGTTTCAGTGGTTAAGAATCTACCTTGCAATGCAGGGAACACTGGTTCAATCTCTGGTCCCTTCATGCCTCAGAGCAACTAAGTTTATGCGCCACAACTACTGAGTCATGCTCTGGAGCCAACAAGCCACAACTACTGAGGCCTGTGCGCCTTAGAGCCTGTGCTCCGCAACAAGAAAAGGCAACAATGAGAAGCCTGCACATCGCAACTAGCGAGTAGCCCTGGCTCGCTGCAGTCAGAGAAAGCCTGCACATAGTAATGAAGACACACCACAGCCAAAAAGTAACTCAATTTTAAAAAAAAAAGCCCTAGTGGAATTAGAAATTAGATTGATATTGAACTGAATTAAAAACAATAAAAATAAAGAAACAGAGTTTTCAAGATGTTCAACACAGAGTTACCTTAGGACCCAGCGTTGCACTTAACAGAATTAAAAACATGTCTATACAAAAATGTAAATATGACTGTTAGAGCAGCATTACTCATAACAGCCAAAAATGAAATCAATCCAAACTTGCAGTGTCTGATGACTAGGTAAATAAAATGTGGTGGATATACAAAAGATACTATTTGGCAATAACAACAAGTGAAGTACTGATACATGCTACAACATGGATGAATCCTGAAAACATTATACTAATTGAAAAAAGCCAGTTTTAAAAAGCCACAGACTCCCATTTATATGAAATTTCCAAAATAAGCAAATCCACAGAAACAAAAAGACTTCCATCCTCACCAAGCTAAACTAAAGGTGCTCTAATATCTCACAGATTTTGGAGAAACCCAAGCAGGGACCTGGTGTTTTCAACTCATCCAAACAGTAACTAACCAAGCCACACCACAAGGGGAGCCTCGAGCCCTGTTACAGCTGAAACAATGCAACCGTCTTTCTCCCTACTGGGTAATATAATATCAGAGGCGGCCAAGTAGAGAGAACTTTCACTACTATGCAGTGGTATTGAAATCACCCTATCATCTACATGGGCAGCTAGAACTCCCATCCCTAATCAACACTATCAGTTCCTTTTGCGCACTCTCTCTCTCTCACACACACACACACACACACACCTCTGCCACACAGGTGTCAATGGAAGCTCCTTGGGGAACTTGGACTTCTACCCCAACCAGGCAGTAATGAGATGGCTGCTCTTCCTTCCTCTACCAGAGTCAGAGGAAGTCAGGTAAAACAGAAGATTTAAATGAGATCCAGAGACTCGTAATATAATACCCCAAATGTACAAGTTTCATTGAAAAGTCACTCATGATATTAAGAACTACGAAGATGTCAAAGTAAATAAAAAAGGATAATCAACAAGTGCCAACACTTGAGACAAACAGAAAATATAATTATCTGACAAAGATCTGAGAGTAGCTATCACAAAAATGCTTCAGTAGAAATTAAGAACATGTAAGGGAATAGAATCTTAAAATGAGTGGATACATGTGTAACTGATTCACTATGCTGTCCAGCAGAAACTAACACAACATTGTCAATAAACCGTACTCCAAAAAAATTAATTTTAAAAAAGGAATTAAGAACATGCTTAAAACAAATTAAAAAACATAACATCTTGACAAAAAAATAGAAAATCTCAGTAAAGAAAGTGAAAACCTAAGAGCTGAAATTAAAAAACTCAATGAACGAGCTCAAAAGAAGAATGTAGGAAACAGAGAAAAGAATCTTTAACCTGGAAGACAGAACAATAGAAACTACCCAGTTTAAACAACAGAGATGCAAATTGAACACCTCAGGAATCTGTGGAATGGTACCAAAAGATCTAGCATTTGTATCATCAAGTACCAGGAGGAAAGTAGAAAGTGGGCACAAATGAAAAGTACATGTAGAAATAATGACTACAAATTTTCCAAATTAGGCAAAATAAATCTACCAATTCAAGAAGTTAGTGAACTCCAAACAGAATAAATTACATGAAGAAAATCACAATCAATGTAAATGAAACCAAAAGCTATGTTTTTGAAAAGGTCAATACGGATAAAATTCTGGCCAGGCTAACCAAAAGAAAAGACAGAAACTACTAATATGAGGAATGAAAGAAAGATCATGATCTTTCAATGATCTCATGGACATTAAAAGAAAAATTTTAAATACTATCAACAACTCTATGCCCATAAATTTGATAACTTAGAAGAAACGGATCAACTCCGTGAAAGACAATCTACCATAACTCACACTAGGAGAAATAGATAATCCACCCAGGCATACACACACACACCCCTCACAGTAGGAGAAATAGATAATCCACCCAGGCATGCATACACATACACAATCACACACACACACACACCCCCCTCACAGCAGGAGAAATGGATAATCTGCCCAGGCATACACACACACACACACACACACACACACACACACACACACACCTCACAGTAGGAGAAATGGATAATCCACCCAGGTGTGCGCATGCACACACACACACACACACACCTCACAGTAGGAGAAATAGATAATCCACCCAGGCATGCATACACATACACACACACACACACACCTCTCACAGCAGGAGAAATAGATAATCCACCCAGGCATACACACACACACACCTCACAGTAGGAGAAACAGATAATCCACCCAGGTACACACACACACACACACACACACACACACACACACACACACGTCACAGTAGGAGAAATAGATAATCCACTCAGGCATGCATACACACACACACACCCCCCTCACAGCAGGAGAAATAGATAATCTGCCCAGGCGCACGCGTGCGCGCACACACACACACATACACCCCTCACAGTAGGATAAATGGATAATCTACCCAGGTGCGCGTGCGTGCACACACACATACACACACACACACACCTCACAGTAGGAGAAATAGATAATCCACCCAGGCATACACACACACCTCACAGTAGGAGAAATAGTATATATACACACACACGTATGTATATGTATATATGAATGTCTATTCAGATTATCTATTTCTCCCAGTGTGAGTTATGGTAGATTTTATACATACATACATACATACATACATATATATGAAATTAAATCAATAATTAATAACCTTCAAAAACATAACGCACCAATCCTGATGGTTTCACTGATGACTTTTACCAAACATTTAAATGAGGCATAATACCATTTTTTGAAAATCTCTCCCAAAAGTTCCAGAAGAACTTCCTAACTCATTCTATGAGGCCAGCATCATCCTCACATCAAAATCAAAGACATCACTAGAAAGGAAAATTACAGACCAATATTTCTCATAAACATAGGTGCAAAATCCCCAACAAAATATTGGCAAATCAAATCATCTATATAGATAAAGAATTAAACCATGGGCAAATGAACTGTATTCCAAGTATGTAAGACAAAGGTTCGGCTTTCAATAATCAATTAATGGATTCACCACATCAACCAGGCTAAAGAAAAAAATACATAACCATATCAATAGGTACTGAAAAAGCATGCAACAAAATTCAACTAGAAGTAAAGAAGAACTTCATCAATTCAGTAAAAAATACTTGCCAAGAAACCTACTAATATTTGCCAAAATATTTAATGGTGAGAAACCAGATGCTTTCTTCTATGCTGGACAACAACACAAGGATGTGCCCCACTTTCACCACTCTCTTAAGCATGTACTGAAAATCCTAGTGAAGCAACAGGGAAGAAGAGGATATAAAAGATGCTATATATATACTGGGGAAGAAGAAATGAAATCATCTTTGTTTACAGACGGTATGACTGTCTATGCAGAAAATTCCAAAGAATCAACAATAACAAAAAAGAAACCAAAAAACCAATCTAAAACCTCCTAGAATAGGTGATTATTAATAGCAAGGTTGCATGACACAGGTTTAATACACAAAAGTCAACTGCTTTCTCACATAACAACAAAGGATAATGGGAATTTGAAATTAAAAACACAGCATTGATTGTATTAGCATGAAAGTATAAAAGACTTAGGTATAAACCTAACAAATTATGTAGAAGAGCTACATGAAGAAAACTACAAAACTCCAATGAAAGTAGTCAAAGGAGACAACCCCCTAAAATGGAAAACTTATCCATGGTCATAGATAGGAAGATACTATTAAGATATATCAATTTTTCCCAACTTGATCCATAGATTTAGCAACATTCTGGCAAATTATTTTGTGGATATCAACAAACTGATTGTAAAGTTTATAGAGAAAAGCAAAAAAACCAGTATCACCAACAAAATACTAGAGAAGTACAAAGTAGGAAGACTGACACTATCTTCTGTCAAGACTTACTATAAAGCTACAGTAATCAAGACAATTGGGTATGGGCAAAAGAAGAAACAGACAAATCAACAGAACAGAATATAGAGCCCAGAAATATGGCCCCCAACTAATCTTTGAGAAAGGAATAAAAACAATTCAATGGAGGAAGGACAGTCTTTTCACCAAAGGGTGCTGGAACCACTGGTCACTCACATACAAATGAACAAAAACAAAATAAAAAATTTAGATACAGACCTATACATCTCACAAAAATTAACTCAAAATCAATCACATATCTAAATGTGAAATAAAAATTACTACAACTACACAACTTTTAAAGGGTAACAGTGGAGAAAATCTAGGTAGCCTTAGGCTGGGAGATGATTTTCTACATACAGCACCAAACAATGAGCCATGAAAGAAGAAACTGCTAAGCTGGACTTCTTTAAAATTA